CTTTGGGTATAAATGGTTGCTTTGCTTCACACACACACACACACACACACACACACACACACACACACACACCACGCACACATGCACACACACATGCATTTATGCATGCACACACACATGCAAACACATGACACAACGCGCACATACACAACACACATGCACACATTCAGACACATATGGATGTTCATACACATATGCACAGGATCTTAGTCCAGATAGTCTAGGCTGACCTCAAACCTATTACTCTTTTGCTCCAATCACCCATGTCTATTTCTTACATTAAGTTTTTAGTTTTTAGGGTTTTTGTTTTTTGTTTTTCTTGTTGTTGCTGTTTTACACGACAGGGTTTCTCTATGTAGCCCTGCTATCCTGGAACAGGGTTTGTAGACCAGGCTGGCCTCAAACTCACTGAGATCTGTCTGCCTTTGCTTCTGTAGTGCTGGGATTAAAGGTGTGCATCACCGCTGCCAGGTTCTTACCTTAAATTTAAAGCAATTTCTTACTTACCTACAATCTTTGAAAAGATAAATATGAATGATTGGAAAACCTTGAAATGTTGGCAGTATTGTCTCTGGAAGATGGGCTGAGGGTTAGATGTCTGATATTTAAAAGAAAACTGCTTTTAGGTGGCATGGTGGTACATGCCTTTGGTCCAACACTTGGGAGACAGAGGCAGGCATAGCTCTGCAAATTTGAGGACAGTCTGGTCTACACAGTGAGACTTTGCCTCAAAGAAGCAAAAGAATAAACGTAAAGTTTATTTTTTTTGGCTTTTATTGTTAACAAAAAATTACTGCTTAGGAAAAAGCTAATCCAATCCTATTAAAATAAACAGGAATTCAAGTATCATTTGCCTTTGATTTGAATAAATTGGTATGTTTTATATGTTTATAGCTATTCACTGAAATTTAAAATATAGTGATATCAAGGCAGGATAGAATGAGAGAGCAAATTACAAGGACATGGGAACAAATAGGTGTTTCTCACTCAGAGTCTGATTGAAACCTCTCCCTAAATGACAAGCAGGAATTGTAGCATAATTAATAGTTGCTGCGAATGGTGCTGGCTTACAGGCAGTGTTCTTTTCATACACAGATATTTTAAGTTTAAAAAACAAGGAGCCAGGCTGGAGACTCTCAGTATATGGTGTTGGATTTAGCCTCGTTGCTGTACCAATGTTTTCTGGGAGTCTTAAACAAGACCGTTGACTTTGTTTACAGTGACGATGTCCTACCTTCTTGAACGTACCCTGTGATCTAGAGTCTAGATTTTAGACTTGTTCTTTACCCATTGTCTCACACAACTCAGGAGTCATCCTGTGACCTGAGGTCCCTTAGCTGCCTTAGAACTCAACAATTTTGAGAATCACTTTATATTATATATATATATACACATATGTATATATAGTATATATTATATATGTATATACTTATAAAGACAATGAAGCTCAGCTCCTAGAGAGACTCACACCTGTGTTCAGGGATGTGTCTTACTCTCTCTACAGGTTCTTTCTTTTTCTTAATGGCCATGCTTAAAATCTATATTAAAATATCTTTAATAAACTTCAGCTGTGTTTCATACTTGCTTGTCCTCAAAATACTTTCTGCAATGAAGCCAAGACCTGTCTGAGTTACAGCACCTGAATGACGGAAGGAGTGCCAGAGAGATGGCGAAGTATGTGAAGGTGCTGGTCCTGATCCCCAAACCCACGTATCGGTGGGAGGATAGAACTGACTCCCAGGTGTTGTCCTCAGAACTCCACGCATGCTGTGACGTGGACACACACAATGATAATAAAATAAAAGGCATTTAAGGATTAAGGCAACTCCTCAAGCTGTTCTTCAGCACAACACCCACTTCTGTCCTTGCCACTGCTGTCAATCTAAAACAAGTCACCAATGTGCTAAGAACTGTTTACCTTGTTTAGAAAATATCTCAGTTGAAGAGAGATGGAAACTGTCATCATTAAAATAATTTAACCCCTGCTTGTGAGAGGCTACCTCGAAGGCTCAAATGGTGAGCCTCAGTTTTGTGTCTCTGCCTAATCACAGCTTGTTCCTAATGCCTCCCCCTCCCCACAACTCCTGAAGTAACTGATGGATATGAGCCCAGGCTATGCCAGCTGCTTTGGACAGAGGAGAGTGGGACTCAGCACAGCCGTCCTCTTTGGTTCCTTATTGCTCTCCCCAGTCCCATGGACTCACATGTTTATATTGTATATAGAGAAGGCTCACCTCACTTTTAACAAAAAGTTGGTCAGCTTTTTTCTACCCTGCTTAACAAGTTATTCATCATGTGATCAGAACTAGTAAGGGGACTTTTAGTTCAAAATGCAAATGTGTACACTTCCTAGTTTGATTAAACATGATAGCTTTCTTACGCCAGACTCTGAGACACTGCTGAGAGAATTTATGGATGTAGTTCCTGGGATAGAAGAACTTTTACAATAACAAGCATAAATAAAGAAACACAAACCCTGAATTATCAGTGTGAATAAAAAGAAAGGAAGAAAGGAAAGAAGCTGGGCGGTGGTGGCACACACATCTAATCCCAGCACTCGGGAGGCAGAGGCAGAAACTCTGTGAGTTGGAGGCCAGCCTGGTTTCCAAGAGCTAGTTCCAGGACAGAATCCAAAGCTACAGGGAAACCCTGTCTCAAAAAGAAAAAAAAAAGACAAAGAAAGAAAGAAAAGAAAAGCAAAAGAATTTGCCTAAGTCCAGCATTAAAGATAAAGCTCAGTTGCCCATCTCTGTGAGGATTTGGAAATTCTGCGTGTGGATCATTCCCTGCATCGGTGGTCAGCTTTCTCTTGCTATGAGGGAAGAGGGTGAATGGGGGCAAGCGATAAAAACAGGTAGAGGTGGGGATCCAACTCTCTCTTTAACCTTAACAGGCTGTGTTGTCGTGTTTCATATATTGTCTGCATGTCATTTCAAAAACAGTGTCTTAAACCTTTCCAAAGTGTGAAGATAGATTTGCCTGGTGCCTAAACCAGTGGTGATGGAGTCTTGCTGTGGTCTAAGGTTTCATTGCAATAATGCTGAGCAGCTAGCTCTGAGATTGTTGCATCCACAATGTACCAGAGTCATGGGACTGATGGTCCTGGTCTGGAACCTTTATAACTGTGAGCTACATAAAAGGGTTTCTCTTCATAATACTAACTCACTAAATCGTACCTAGAGAAACCATAAGTAGGCTGTATTCCTTCTTTACAGATGAAGAAAGCAAGGCTCTGAAGGAAAGAGTGACTGTCATCCTGGCCACAGTTGGGAAAGCACACTCAAGTGTGCCGGACACAAAGGCTGCCCTTTGATACCTGTGTTGTGGTCGTTATATAGGCAGTAATCACAGGTGTGAAAATGCTGACCAGTCTTCTAAACACAGGTGTGTAGACTACAGCTCAACCCACAGAAGTGTGCTTCGGGTGATACAAACTATATAGACACCATGTGACTGTGGGGGTAGGGGATAATGGCTTAAGAAAGATGCTTTCATATTTCACAAAGGATGAAGAAATGTTCTCAGACCAAAAAGCACAGACTTGAGAAACTTCCCATTCAGGTACTGCATTGAGCAAATTTGCTGGGAGGGACAGGGAGCTTCTCCTGGCTTCCTCATTATAAAATTGTTTTCATCGCTAATGTTTTTAAACTGAAAAAAAAAAAACCCCAAAAACCTGTGACAGAAGCAATAAGAAAACCAAAGGGGAGAACTGCCGGGATCTGCTGGAGTGATATGACCTCTGTGTGGGTTCATAAGGACATCAGCAGCAGCTGGACAGAGGGATAGACTCCTTGGGAACACCACTCACTGGTAAAAGGTAGCGGCTGTGACTCTATAGGAAAGAAGGTTCCCACGACGAAAGCGAAATTCCAGGCATTTGTTGGAAGTTCTGAGCTGCTATTTGCTGTTGCCATGTTCTGTCCAAAGCTAGTCAGATCAACTCCACTCTCAAGAGGGCAAAACTGAGTGCCTTCTCTTCTTTAAACAGTGGAATACTTCCACCCGCCTCCTGAAACATGTCTGATTCCTGGAAACTGTTTGAAACCCAACTGACTGTATGTAGAAAAGTGCATTCCCACACTCCTAAAACTATCTGACCAGAGAGGGTGCGTGTCATCATTACCAACCAGACAACCAGCCAGTAGATCAAGAGCCCCAGTTTCAGACAGCACAGGTGAGTAGCTGTTCCCCATAGTTCAAGGCTCATGGCACCGCCCAAGAGTCACGCTGGACCCTAAGGAAACCTCAAGAAAAAGCCTTGTCCCTGAGACAAATCAAACTACACTGAAGGCACATTAAGGAAGCTGGCTATGTGCAGACCATCCAAGGCAAAGGGACTTCTTAAGCAGTCACTCGTGGTTTCTGATTTGTGTTTGCATTGTTATTAAATAGATGTACTTACAGCTTTTCTGAATTGTGTTCCTTCACAGTTATTAAATTTGTATGTACAACATGCTCTTATTGTATGTTTGAATCTGAACACTCTAAAGTAGACTGCTGTGGGGGATTCTTTGCAGGCAGATGGAACCAGAGCTCACTGGAGAACCTGTGGTCAAGCTGATGAGACTGCCAATGAAAAGGGGACTACCCTTCATACAACAAAACCAGTACGTGCAACAAGAATCCCCTGTTGGTAATATGATAAATGCACACACGGAAGCAAAAACCAAGTGAAGCTCACACTTGTTTGTGAGCCCTGAAACATACTTGAAGTTTACGTCTTCTAATAGTCTCGAATAGCTCAGTCTCCACGGCTGTAGTTTCTTGAATCTGTCCTCAGCACCAGCACCACCCAGGGCCATCCCTTATGGGACATTTTTGCTTGCTGTTTGGTTTTAGTGAGCAGGTCCCTGAAAGCATTGGTTTGCGTATACTTGGGGGGAATTCACAGAGGTAAGGAGGAGGAAGTGGGTGGTCATCTCATAAGGGGAGAAAGAGGTGAGTTCTACAGTGCGCTTGGTTGGTATTGACAGGTGAGGGAGACAGGGGTCACATACCTGAAATTTCTGGAAGTGTGGGCTTGTCTTCTTTCCAGAGGTTCCCATCACAAACAGGAAGTCTGGGGTTAGGACAAATGGCACTCTCTCTTTATTAATGCCCAGGAAACTTTTATAATTCCCAAGAATGTGTCCAAAGTCTATGTGAAATAGGTTTCCTGAAGAGAAGGAAATGCCTGACATCATTACACGGCATAAGTGCTTATTAACATTTTGGTTTTTTGAAACGATTTTGCGGTTGCCTGAGAATGAATGATCTTGAGTGAAAGCATTTTCACGCTCTTTTATATTAACCTGTGATATTTTCAGTCTTACCAGGTGTGGGAAAGCAGCAGCTGCAAATATCTGTTGATAGGCTTGTTTGTTAGATGGTTCCAAATGTCGTTTAAAAAATACCTGTCTCCAAAGTATTCTTAGACAGGTAAATCAAAGTCTAGCTAATATTTGAACATCATGTTTAAGAGACACCATGTCCTTCATGTAACTGAAGGATTAGTGTTGTATTCCAATCCAGCAAGAGGGGGTTTAGTTTTTACTTTTAAGTAGCACTATAGAAATGCCAGTTTGAATCTCTTTGGGGTCAGTTCTGCCACTATTTTACCATCATTATCCGCAGAACCACGTTAGTTTTTTATTTATTTGGTCTTTTATCATTTCTTCTTTTGTGTTGACCTTGTCAAAGAATAAGTAATTCACTCCAAGTTTTTGTGCTTTTTCTAAACTCTACTCTTGAATAGCTTTCTGCGAGAGAGTCTATGTAGCACAGGCTGGCTTTGAACTTTGCAATCCTCCTTCGGTCTCCAGAGTGTTGGACTTAAAGGCCTTGGCAACTATGCCTGGAAGACTATAAAAATGTGTTCAAATTCCACATATGACTATCGGTATGGTGGCCATTACTGGCCATTACTGGCCATTCTCAGAGTAGCATGAACCAGTAAGGCTCAGAGAGTTAGGGACTTGGGTGTCTTAGATTGGGAGGATATTTCATGTGTTTTATTATTTGTTCTAGCAGCTTTTTGCAACATTTGACATGGTTGATACCTCCCATCATTATCAGTTTCTAGGATTTACTTCCCATCCTCTCTTTCTCCCTCTCGCCAGAACGTTCTCTCTCTCTTTAGTCTCATTTCCTGCCCTTCTTCTCTTACCCATCAACCCTCTGTCCAAAGTGACGAGTGTCCCTGTTCACAATGACTTCTAGACCTGAGCTCCGGTTAGACTCTCACTCTGTGCCAGGGGGATGGGGTGGGGGTGGGCAATGTTTAATGAGGACACGTGCTTCAGACGGACAGCAGTGATGACTGCCAAATAAGGTGAGCGTATTTGATGTCACTTAGCTGAACACTTAGGACTGATTAAAACAGAATGTATATATGTATATATAACATGCTACGATGAAAAGTTTATTTTACCTTGGGCAAACTCACCTGTCTCTGAGATCATAATGTTGTCGTTGTGTCTGTCACCTATCCCGAGAACAAACGTCGCCACACAGTAGCCAGCACAGGAGTAAACAAACCTCTCCACTGCTGCCTGAAACTGAGGAGGTTGCGTGTGAGTGCAGTCGCTCTCCAAGCAGAGAGCAGAAGAGTCGATTACAAATGCCTTCCAGAAAGACAGTGTTCTAGGGACCACTTCAGAAAGCAAGAAAGTTGAGTCCAGTCTCATTAGTTTCTTATCAAGGGGGTGCCAACTGCCATAATGCTCTACTTGTATGTCTAGTAAAGAGTCAGCCAGACACCCGGACACGAGGGAGACTCGAGAAGCAAAAGGCTACAGAAATTTGTTCAAGGTTCTCGTCCTCTTCTTGCCCACAACTGTACAAAACTATAGAGATTTCTGCATTCATGCTTTGCTGGGACCACGTAAGTGGATGGATGGCTTCACAAGTCTTCATGTATAACAGATTAATAAAGGTTACTAATTATGTTCCCTCCACTGAGGCTGATAGTCATGCAAATGTCAGGTGCTATTCTTGTAGGGTAGAACTTTAAATGGCGCCCAGACAGACCAACCAACCAGTTTGTGAAGGATACAGCATACACACTTCAGCAAGATGGACATTTTCAACATCCGTAACTTACCGTTGAGATCCGCAGCAGTACACTGCAAATTATTTTGTTTGGTATGAAGGAAAGTATATATGGTAACTAAATCTTTGTGTTGAACAACAAAAATAGCTTCAAAAGTGCTAACAGACTATTTCAGAGAAACAAATTCTATGCAAAGCTTGAATGGTAATCAAAACTGAAGCAAATGTTTCCTGGGTCTAGCACTAGGCACCCTGTCTCACAGATAAGCTGTATCATCAGGGGAAAACCCCTGAAACCACCACTGCTTCAGGAGCAAACCCAGAGACATCCATCGGAAATGCCTGTCCAGACTAGAAGTCACGACTCTCAGATGGAAGACCAGCTGGATGGAGGACGGGGCCCGGGGTGGGGATGGGAGAGCAAGAACTCACCTTCTCTTCAATAGGGCATTTTTCCTTGAGCCAGTGATTCAGGACTTCATCTTTGAATGCTCCTGTGTTACCCACTGTGCTTTGCTGAATTTGAGCGATTGTGGTGGCATCCTTCACAATCTCGATCATTCCTGTGTGAAGAGCCACAGAATTCAACGCCGCTGAGTCTTGACTGAGTGGAGTAGACGGTTTTTTTCTTTTATCTGATGCTTTCTGAGGTCAAAGCTCTATTTTTCAGGTCTGAGCTATTTTGTTGTTTGTTTGTTGAAAAGGTAATAACAGCCAACGACTGCAGAATTTGTGTGGAATCCTCCTCCAGTAACCCTGAATAAGGGGGGGAATGGCTGCTTTGGAGGACTAACAAATAAAGACATCTGTGTGCCAAGTGCAGCCTTTCTTGCTGGGTGATTGCTACCTTTCCCCATTTTAGGGAACATGGCCTAAAATGTTTGGTGCAGTTCTCACAGGAGAACTTTGAATAAAAATAAAAGTGATTGAAACTAAAATGTTAAATGTCTAAAAAAGTACCTGAGTGGAGTGTGTAATAGCTTCAATAATGCGAATTCTGGAATTTAAAAAGAAGTGACAGTTCCTTCTGTCTAATTTTAAATGTTATTTGCGAGAGAAAAGCTTAATGCACAACGACATGAGCTGCAGTGGATGGGGAGAGGAGCTGGGGGAGGGCGCAGTTCTCGGGATGCTCGCTCCCATGCGCGGCCACAGGCCTGAGTTAGTTAACGTGCCTTTGTTACGCCGCCATTGAACCCAGAGTCACTTTCGGCAACCTGGGGACATAGCTACCTTTTGATTTTCAAGGGTAGCTTGCCAGCTATGGAACGCTTTCACCAAGAGTGGTATGCTCATTGCCTGACGCAATTACAAACCTATTTTGTCACCAGTTGAGATGCAGCCATATGGCAGAAGGCACAGGTCCAGAGATTCAGTCTCCCAAATGGACTCCATGATGCGTAGAATCTGGGAATCAAGTACAGACATTTCTACTATACATAGATGTTGACCAATGCATTTTCTTCTCTCTTAAAAAAGCCAGGAAGCTTGGATAAACTGGGGGGGGGGGCCAGTAGAGAGGAGAGGACAGGAGGTGAGAATATGAGGGAACAGGATGGTCAAGTTGGGGGAGGGATGGAGTGAGCAATAGCCAAGCACCAGGCTGAGCTTTGGGAGTCCAGTCTAAGAGAGGGAGGAGGGACTATATGAGCGGAGTGGGGGTCGTCAAGATCATGACAGGGAAGCCATGGGGACAGCTGACCTGAGCTTGTAGGAGCTCATGGTCTCTGGACTCTAGACAGACGTCTGGGAAACCTGCATGGGATCTAACTAGACCCTCGGCATGTGGGAGACAGTTGTATAGCTTGGTCTGTTTGAGGGCCCCCTGGCAGTAGGACCTGGATCTATCCCTGGTGCATGAACTGGGTTTTTGGAGCCTATTCCCCAGGATGGCATGCCTTGCTCAGCCTTGATGCAGAAAGAGGGGGTGGCTTAGTCCTGCCTCACCTTAATGTACCAGGCTTTGTTGACTCCCCATAGGAGATCTTACCCTTTGGGAGGAGGGGACGGGGGGGGGGGGGGTGGGGGAGAGCTAGCAGGGGCAGGAGGAGGCCGGGGGAGCTGGTTAGTATGTAAAATGAATAAAAAATTTAAGATAAAAAAGCCAGGAATCTTCTCTGGTTACATGCAGTATAGGAGTAAATTTAAAATACATAGTAACAACTCAACTTCAATTGATCAGCCTGATACTCAGAAATTTCCTGCCATTGCAAATCTGTTAATTTCAGCCCCTGGGGTATATGTTGAAGAAATGGATAAAGTTTTCACTTGGGGGAGGGTTTTTTTTTTGCCACATTTCACTATCTACCTTACCAAATACTCCACTTCTTATGTCTGTTTCCCACAATAACTTAATGCCCTTTGGCATGTTTGCTTCTCTGATATCCACAAGGCCCATGCTACAACTAAGGCAGTGAAATCAGTAATGGTGATATCAACACCACATGTTAGCTGGTTCTTCTTTTATGTGTGATCCTTCTATTGGGAATATAATTATTGTTTCTGTAAACGAACAAAGACTTAGAGAGTTACAGTAGACAGCGAGTTTCAACAATAAAACAAAGTCTAAGTATGAACTGTCCCTCAGAATTAGAGCAACAGGAAAGCAACCTTTTGTGGCTTTGAAATGCTTATCTTTGTAAATTCAAAGGATTCTATAGACTTATTTAAAACAAAGTTCATTTTTTAAAAAAAGATTAAATAATTTATTTCTTTCCTTTTCCTTTTAAAAATCTTTCTTGGACAGAAAACAAAAACAAAAGAGACAATAACAGCAATGAAAAAAACCTGTCCTTGAAAAGAAAGCTGAGCACTGTGTTAGAAATAAGCTAAAACAGAATCTTAAGGAAAATTGAAAATATTGGTTTTAAATAGCCTGCCTTTAATGTACAGTGCTTTGTTTACTCTAAATAAATCATACTAGGTTTTAGAAACATTTGCCTCTTCCATAATGAGGCATGAGAAACTGGAGAGCTTAGCTTTATAGACTTGTGAAGCTAAACCAACACAGAAATGTTTCCTACAGTCTAAAAGTGATACCTTCACCATTTGCCTTCTCCCTTTCATCTGTGCGGCCATGCGTCCCTTTCTCCCTTGTATACATCATTCTTGAGCTGGTGTTTGAGTACTGAAGGGGTTGTATTTATGGAATATGCCTGCTGATGGACTGGTATGTCTGTGAATCGGGTTAAACCGGCTACTGCAGACAAGTCATCCCCACAGCCCATTCTTCCATGTGCAGAATGGAGTTTTAAAGAGCCTAGGCAAGGCAAGTGCATCTGCCTGCTAGGGAATGCCGGACACCCATCTCTGGCAGGATGGCTTGCCTAATGACCCATAGCTACATTCACCAAGTTAGACTTCTCTATTAAGTACCCTTTGATTGCTATTCATCACATGAAAATAGAAAAGAAAGGAAGGCATGTTTTAGACTAATATAAAATCCTTTCTTCAAATAACTGCAAAACACACCTCAACCTACCTGTAAGATCAGCATGTCTTGCCGAAGATCATCGCCATGTTTGAAGATGATCCCGATGGTTTCATTGGACAGGACTGTAGGGTCAGCACATTTAAACTCGAGCCACAGGGGCTTCTTCTTAGAGGCCATCACTTTGCATTTTTCAATCTGCAAGGAAGTGGTTACAATATCACAAAATGAATATACACTGCAGGGGCTCTGATTCTCTTGTAGAGCATTTCTGAATACAAGGGCAAAGTCCTGGTTGGAAAATGATTTTCAATATTTGGATTAAATATAGAAGGTGCTCTTGTCTAAACTCAAAATGCTGTCTGTGTGTGAGAAAATTCACAGTCCTTCCAGCGATGGCCCTCAGACTGTACTCCAAGGAGCTCTAAAGGTCTGTGGAAAGGCCACAGTGCAGCAGGCACCACCTCCCCATTCCCATACTGGTTCTCCACACCACCATTAGCTCAGACCACTGATGCTAGCAACTGTTTCTGCGTTAACTTCCTGACATTTAAATTGGAAAAGGAGTTCTAGAGCTACCACAGTGTCTGAAATATTATTACTCAAGAATCAGATGTCAGTCAAATCTACATCAGGGAAATTTAACAGGAATACATGAAAAATCTGGCACTTGGGCACAGGGCTTCCAGCCCAGTCCCCCACAACCCTCATATCTAAACAAAGCACTGTGACAACAGCCATAAAACCAAACCCAAACCTTTGCTGGGTTTTAGTAAATGCACCACAAATCAAAAACATAGTGTAGGGGGCTGGAGAGAGAGTTCAGCAGTTAAGAGCACTGCTCTTGAAGAGGACCTGGGGGGATTGGTTCCCAGCACCCACACAGGGCAGCTCACAACAGCCTGTAATTCCAATTCCAGGGGATCGACCACTCTTCTTCTGGTCTCCTCAGGCACTGCATGTGCACAGCAGGCAAGCAAAAATACTCATACACATAAAATAAAAATAAAGAAATAAAAATATGTCAGTTTTTAAAAAAGCAAATAGTTGGAAAGTTATATTAATATATCATAATACTGTTATCTAAACTATGATAGCGGATTGAATGTGCCTTTGCTATGAGGTCTCTTTCCTAGTAACTGTTTATAGATTTAGAAATGTGAAGGAAGCATTTCTGTCCTGTGAGCAACTAGACCAGGAAAGACACATGGACAACTCTTGTCAGACATTAGATGACAGACAATAGAACTCTGTGGTCCCTGAGCAAGGAAGACAAAGGTATCCTTGCAGCTGCCTCAGCTTACTTCTGAGGGCTGTTTCTTGGTTAAAGTATGGAGGAAAGTCAACCATGTTGAGCTTATGGCCTAGCAGTCCATATAATAACTGAAGTCTCAAAGGGAGGGCAGAATAGGTTGACAGACAATAATAATAATCAAACAATTTCCAAGTGTGATAGAACAGATGCCCACATGCGCAAGGAGCACTGTAGCCTGGCACTTTATATAAGAAACCTGTGCCAACACATACATCACCAACCCACCCAAAACCAGGGAGGAAAGAGACATGAAAAGAAACGGGGAAAAGGATGTATTACAAACAGAACATCAAAGACAAAGCTAGAGCATTCTCACCAGGACACAGGCAAACCAGAAGAGAAGGGTATGGCAAGGGAAAATGGCAAGTTATGTTTCTATGTCTAGTAAAAATATTGCTCAAAAAAATAAATGCATAGTAAACATTTTCAGCTAAATTAATTCTGAAAGAATGTATTGCCAACAGCTTGTAGGATAAGTTGTTAAAGTTCCAAGAAAAAATGGTATTGAGAGAATACCCAACATAATATATGGGTAAATGTTTAAAATGGTTTAATCTGTTTAGCTGTACATATATTTTGTTTAAAGAAAAATAATATATTATGGGGCTTAAAACACATGCAGAAGGGATGGGTTAGTGGAGATGTGAGTTCTTACAAGCACGCAGAGTGGTTGTTACTGCGGTGTTGCTGACACGCACACAGACACTTAGATCAATAGAAGAGATTGAAGAGTGAGGTATAGACCCTCCTACAGTATGGTCAGCTGATTCTGACTTAAAGAATTCTGTAACATTCTTAGAAGAATGTTGAGTATCTTGATTTTGCTGCTGGTACAGAAAACTCACTGAATTCACACTAATGGACAATTGCTTATGTAAAGAATATACTAGTAAGCTGATTTAAAAACACAGTAGATGGTAAATTACTGAGTACTGATTGGAGCACTGGGTGCTAGAGATTAGGGAAGGGCTTGATAGGACCCCATCCGGGGCTGCTCTAGCTCCCGGTGTCTTCATAAGATCCACTGTGAAGGCCCTGAGTCTAGAAAGCACGCTAGACACGTGTAAGACACAAGGAGCACAGAGAGACATATCCCGCCGACACCTACCACCAGGGCACCGGCTTTCAGTCCAGGGTCGTAGGGAACTCTGAAGCTCTTGGGAAGACTGGAACTCTGCAGGCTCTCAAGCTTTTGCTTGAGCTGTGAAATAACTGCAATTGTGAAAAGTACACAGGAGTTAGGGCGGCACAGACATCTGTACTATCTGCTACCTCAGCATAACCCAGGTCACATTTCCTTTGTAGTCTGCGTATGGGGTCTGGGAGGTAGCAGGAAAAGGACTGTGGAACTCTGCCTTTGGAGATCTAACTACTGAGCAGACCCAGTGAGTCCGGTAGAGGATGTTTGTGAGTGCATGTGGGAATCCTCTATCACCACAGCGGAGGAGGGTGTGCGGAGTGAGCCTCACCCTGCCCTTGTCTTTCCAGCCTGGGCCTTTCAACGGGCGTCTGGTTTTTAGAAGAGATGTGTGAAGGCTATTCAATAGAGTCAGGTTGGAGTTCTGTAAATTCTTCTCAAAAGAGGAAGTTAGGTTGTGTACAAAAGATGTGGAAACCTCAAAATTCTCAAGGCAAAACACACGGAGTACAGATTACTGCCTGGAAAACAGGAAGAGGCCTGTTCAAATGTAAGATTGTTACTACTACCATTAGTAGTTTTGGAGGGTAGCACGAGCCATGTACTAGCAGACAATCCAAAGGGAAGGTTAGAAATTTAAAACAGTCAAAAGCTTAAATCGTTTTTTGTCAGGGATGTTAGTATCCTCTTTAAGCCATAGTTCTGGGCTCAGGCTTATTAACTGAGTAAAAGATACTTTTCTAGGTTCAAGTTTCATACAGTTTATCTTGCCAGAAAGATGTGTCAGTGAAGACAATTTCATGCAGTATTCATCAAAACCTTAAAGGAGTGATCAATTTTCCTAGAGCAGAGACAAGATATTGGAAATGGCTACAGAGAGGAAGTGTGTGTGTGTGTGTGTGTGTGTGTGTGCGTGCACGCGTGTGTGTGTGTGTGCGCGTGCACGCGTGTGCGTGTGCGCATGCGTGAAGGTGACATAATTTACATATGTGTATTATTCTCAACCTAACCTCTCAATATTCTGACAATCTGAAATTAGCATGAACGTATTCAAAGATGGGGAGAGGAGAGGATTTTGAAATAATTTTTGTATATGAAACTATTATTGAAAATTACATCTTTATGCACACATGGTTCTTCAATTTCTCCGAATTTCATATGTATAACTTCATTTTTAAAAACATATGACTTTGTGGTCTTAAATCATCATGCCTTATAGAAGGAGAGCTTCAAATCTGCTTACTTTATGCAAATAGGAGACCAAAAAAATGTCTTCTTGACTGCTTTTAGCAAAATACAACTTGAATTTCAGAAAGAAGAATCATACCAGTCATCACATTTAGAAAGAGAACTGAGAAAATTCAGCCAGTGTACCTTGGGAGCTGACATCATACTTCTCAGCAGAGAGCGATTTGATATCAATGGTCACTTTTTGTAACATCTCGATCACGTGGACCTGCTGCGTGAAGTCCTGAAGCATGGCCATGCCGCAGCCCCGCAGGTATGCTTCCAGGATCACGGCGAACCTCTGCTGATAGTGTCTGGACTGGGCTATCTCACTTCGCAAGAACCAGAACAAGAAGTGGCCGATTCTTTTGTTCTGAGACGGGTACAAGAAGGTTGAGGTCAGGATGACGAATGCTGTAGGTTTATCAGGCAATTCCTGGTACCCTAAACTGTCATGCAGTTATCAAAATGGAAATACTTACTCTCAAACCGCGCTTCAGCAGGAATCGGGCCAGAGCGCTGTCATGATATGGTTCAAATTTCACAGCCTAAAAGAAGAGCATATTGGCATTTGAAGGATTATACTCTGTGGTGGTCAGTCAGAAGAAATGAAATGGACAAAATAGTATGGTTCTATGTGAATGAATCTTTCCAGTTAAGGTGGTAAGAATCTTCCTAGCCACTCACATCCAATCCCCTGCTTAGTGGACACTGAAGATGGCGAGGTGGGCACTTGCTTAGCATGCTAGAAGAGGACCACATGGGCTGCAGGACCCCTGATGCCCAGTGCAGTGGTCAGGGTAATGGCAGAGATGAAGTTGCAAAGGCCTTGTTCCAAGTTAGAATGAATTAGGTCATTGGAAGGGGAGAGGTAGACATGGCTATAGTAATTCTTTAAAACAAGAAAACCTGTCATAAAACAAATGGACAGGAGAGATACAGTACTCAAGAGAGGAACATTAGATGCAGCTGAGTGCCAAGTGTGAAGGTCCTGAAGCCCCATAGCTTCCCTTTCGGGCAACTCCTCCCTTCTTACTGTAGGTAAAAGCAGTCCCTACCTGCCAAGCTGTGGCACAGATCTTTGCATCAAATACCCCTGATTGTCTTTATTGTTAGTGTTTGGTCATCTTCACAGTGTTGGTTCTGGGTTGGATATTGATACATGAAATGATAGCTCTATTATTGAATAAAGATAGCCAGTAAAATGGAAAAAAAGTAAACTAAACCTTTGTGGGTGCCTGGTTATTTTTCATGTTTTAATTTTTAATAAGCTTTAAATAGTTAATAGTTTTAAAAGCAACAAGTATTATTTAACGATTAATGCGTATATTAAGTTAGAAGGTAGGTCATGTATATAACTCTAAAATTAACTATCTTAGAATAGTTCCTTTATAAATAGGAATGGTCATTCTTTCCCCCAAAGAACAGAAGACGTTTCCACCCCAGCACGTATTTTGGAGCCTGAAGTCTTTTTGGTACATTCACAGTTCTCATTCTGAGTTCGCAGTTAGATCCTATCAATACTGACCTTATAGTGTTTCAAACTTAGTCCCTCTTTCAAAAGTGCCTCTTTTGGGTGTGGTCAAGTAGGTGCCCCAGAAGCTGCACTTAAGCCGAGTTCTGAGAATGTGGTTTCTCAGTCAACAGAGCTCACTTTAAATTGTGCTGTAAGTTTCTAACTCTAGGGCTGGTCTTTCTTCGTGTTTCACTTCTACAACAATGATGCAGATCGCAACCAAGGGACCATTTTAACCAACAGTGAGTCATTTAGTCGGGGCTGAAATGTTTCAAATCGCTGCACAAATGAGCACCACTCTTCAAACTTCAACCCACACATCCAATATTTATAAGACCAATTGACCTCTTTCACCCAAAGCAGTTCCAAGAAAAAACGTTATTTATCTTTGAATCCAATAAAGTTTACTTTGGAAAGTTTTAATGAAAAATTGTCAGATCAAGTATTACCTACTCAGAACTTTCTCTAGATGCATTACTCAAAATTAAGTGCTACCTGACCCCCTATCTACTCATAGTACTCTATGGTTTTTTCAGAAGCCCTTTTCATAATTTGTTATTAAACACATGGACACTTAATCGAGCTGACAAAGACACACACACACACACACACACACACACACACACACACACGTGTGCACTGCAGAAAATCTGGAGGATATGTCTTCTCACTGAAGAAGTTGTTGAACTCAGGAATAACCACATCTGCGTTGTACAATACCCTTTCTATCTCAGCTTTTCCTTTCCTTTCCTGTGTCAAGTAATAGAACGTAAGTTGAGAACTACTATCATGAGCAGTGTTCTTGCTTCTTAGCTCTTTGACAGCCCAGCTAAATCACAGGCATATCGCTGACCCCGCAAGACCACAGGGAGCGTCATGGGTACTGAGTGAAACACAGTCCCATGCCTGTTTAAAGAGGGCAGCTGCCAAGATTCTGCCCAGCATAACCACTTAGCCAAATAACAGTAGCAAGTTCTACCCTAGGGCTTATGACTTTCCCAGCCATAGGAGTACAGTACTAAGCATGACATTTCCTCACATAAAACGACCTCAAAGCCATCCTGAACTCACAGCAACTGTGGTTACCTGTACACGACACACACAGGATCAAAGCAGCCCATGTCTATCACAGTTGGGATAGAGGGCCTCTAGGCCCGCCTCTTGCTGAGGAGCTATTGGCAGTGGAGAGCTGACAGGAGAGGGAAAGTTACGCTTTCTGGAAGATGTGGCCACTGGTAAAATTCCCATGCTCCTCCAGTGGGTGGCTGCACACCCATAAACACATGGACAGTGATAATTGGACTTACCAGTTATCAGAAAAAAATGGACATTGACTTGAGAGAGAGAGATATTAACAAGGGCAGAAGATAATTTGAAGGGAAACTAGGGGTTATATATGATCATATTTCAATATATACCTGTATAAAATTCTCAAGAATTAAGAAAATCTTTTAAAAGATGTTACCGGGATATGACATGTTGTTCTATGAACTGTAATAAGCATAGACAGAGATTAAAATTTCTCTAGCCTGCATTATCCTGCCGCTAGATTCATGCAGAATATTTGGTGGATGTGAACATGATTAAGGCCAGGGGTTAGTCGATCCATTTCTTTTTAAAAATGTGTGGTCTTGAGCTCATAGCTTAGTCTCCTTGTATCTCAGTTTCCATATGTATAAAATGCAAACCCAAATTCTAATTTGACCACCATTATAGCTAATGGTGGAATCAAATGACACAATATACAAAAAGTATATGTAAATCACTTGGAGCCTTGGCATAAGGAAGCTTGCAACAACTTCAACTCATCATTAAGATAATTAATGAGGACAACATAATTCCCACTGGGGCAGTTCTCCTAAAATGTGAAGGACGGCACTGATGTCTTTCGAAAGCTTGCTGGCAAACCCTCAAAGACACTGAAAAAAAATGTCAATGAGAGCGTTTACAACTTTTTGGCGTGGCTTCATCAGCTCTGGTCTGACTGATCATGAAACCGAACAAAGGGTGTGGGATGAAGGCTGTAGGGGGTGCCTGTACACATGCAAATCCGTTCTCTGAGACAGCAGTTCCTGCTAACCTCCCCAGCGCCTACCTGCACCAGCTGGAGAAGGTAATGCAAAACATCATCGTCCTCCAGGCTCTCCAGCTTCTGAACTGCAATGGCTCTTACATTTTCATCGGAAAAATTGCAGTCCAGGAGCTGCATGGTCAAACCAACGTCCAAAGCACTTTGATCCCACACTTCCCTTCTGGCTAACAGCTGGTATGTTTTGGCCACAATTTCTTGCTGTCCCCACTTCACGGAACTGAAGAGCTTAGGGTATGCCTTTGGATGCTTCAGGCTTTCGTATCTAAAATGCCACAGCAGCTCCTTGTCCTCCGCTGTGAGGGGGTTAAGTGGATCGGTGGCTATGATCGCCTCCAGTTGCTTGCGAAGCTGATTGGGCATTTCAGCTCGGACCCTATCTCCTTCCGGGTCAGGGGTGGGCTGATGCTTAGGCAGGGCTATGGGGTGACAGTAGTTGTCCAGCAGGATAGAGATGGACATTGAGTTCTCCTTGTCAGGGTTGGTCGCAGACGTGAGCTTGTCAGCATTGAAGCTGCCTTGTTCCTCTGCCTTCCCAGATATCTGCCACATGTGGAGGACATAGTCACCATGGCGGAGCAGGAACCGGTGGTCTATTAACAGTAAGTTCACATAATAGAGAAGCTGGGCTTTGCTCTTGGACTCCGAGCCTGGCGTCTCTGCAGAAGCTTTGCTGGACAGTGCTGGCGTTTTGCAGCAGTAGATCTGAAGGTTTAACAGGGCCCCTTTGGGCAAGTCTTTGATTTTGATGCCGAATTCCAACCACACATTCCAGAGCACTTCCTCCGTGAAGGGCTTAGGGCTGGTTCGCCTTTGGCAAAGGACTTGTTGTCCGTGTTGGATGTTAGCTTCTACAAACACAGTGAGGTCGGTGTTCCGGGGCAGGACAGGGATGTCAATGCCTCTAATCTTGACCCTGAACTTTCGGTCACAGTCCCACAAAGACACCGTGAACACACTCTCGTGGTCCTTGCCGTGGATGGTGAGCTGCTCATGGTAGCCTGTGACTCCAGTACAGTCATCCACCAGTGGCCATTCTTCCTTCCTCACCTCATCTAGGGCTGGGTCTGGAGGCGTGTCGAGCACCAGGTGTATTTCATCTCCGTTCTTAAGGCATTGTCTCACCCACTGGAAGTTTTTAAGGGGCGTTTCGCCTACCAGGTACTCATCGCGGCCACAGACCCGCAGCACAAAGTCCTGCTCACTCTGACTTTCTGGGATATTTAATAGGGACTTCTTCTTGGCCATCTTGGTGAAGAAGCTCTGGAGGATGGCGCCAGGGGTATCATCCGCGGAGACCTTGATGGTTTGACTGGTGGTGCTCCGATGGATGACGATGAAGATGCAATTGTTGGCAATCTTCCTTGACAGGTAGTCTGGGAGAGGTTTGGATGTCACCCAAGGGTGCATAGCATAGAGTCTGGCATCACGGCCAGCCACCTCTGCCATGCGAGGCGTGACCAGACGGCGGCGGGTGAACTCTAGCTCATCATCGTGCACGTTGCTGACGTCCGTGACGTCGTAGCCAATCAGGGAGGTAAGCTGCTTCTGGAAAGCTAGGGTCTCCTCAGAAGGTGTGTGTCTCTGTACCACATGGATCTGACCGGGGCTCTTGTGCATCATCTTCCAGTAGCGCAAGCAGTCTAGGGTCTGTACCACTTGGTACCTGTCGTAGATCTCATACCACTGCCCCTTCTTCTGGTAGAGCAGGAGGAAGTGGTCCGGGCCCAACCGGTGGTAGAATTCGGCGGCCACGCTGGTCTCCAGTGCGCGCAGCCAGACCTGGGCTTTCATTTGCTCCACGTTGCCATGGCCAGCCACATGCAGCAGTGCTATTTCTGGAGTTTTGCTGATGCGCTGGCTGGTGGGCAGCACGAACTCGATGGGGATGAGCTCCATGGAGGACAGGCTGCCTGCTGCACTGCGTGGCTTCATCCTCCGGCGCCGGCGGAGGTTGTCCTCTCTTAGAACCACCGGTTGCTCATAGTTCTCCAGCTCCATGCCCTAAGCGACCTGGGAGTGGAGAAAACAGCTTTGTCAGGAGACAGACTGCAGATTCCGTTACGATGACTGAGAGAAGGTGTTGATAGGAGCACCAGGCCTAGAGGGACCAAGAAAGCTGGGTACAGTGCTGTCTTTCACAGCGTGGTTCTCGGCCAGTCACTTACTGTTTAGATGATGTGGCCTACTTAATCTCCTACTTATCTGTCATTTTGGTTATTTATACTTAGGGGTGGAGGCAAAAGTTAAATAAGGTAGTTCCTTTTTTTGATTGATTGATCCATACATACTGGCACATTTTCTGTAGGGGTGTGTGTGTGTGTGTGTGTGTGTGTGTGTATGTGTGTGTATGTGTGTGTGTGTGAGATGTTTTAATTAGAAATTTGTAAAGCACTATGGGACTGTAGAGATGGCTCCGTGGATAAAAGTGCTCGCTGTACAAACATAAGGTCTCGAGTTTACATCCTACTACCCATGTAAGCTCCCATGGACCAGTAACCCCAGTGGTTTCTGTCTGTCTGTCCGTGTGTGTTGGAAGGGAGAAAATCGGAGATGGGAAAAAAAAATCACTGGGGCTTATTGGCCTCCAACTTAGCTCCAGGTTCATTGAGAGACTCTGACTGAAAGGAAGCGGGTGGAGTGTGTCTCCTCTGACCTCTGCAGGTGTAACTCCGCACATATATGGTTACATTATACACAAATAACACACTCACACGCATGTGCACAAAGCATGTACAACACTCATTTAGCACCATGTCTGATATTTACTGGCTCAAAATGGTAACTGTCTGTAAGTGCCAAGAAATCCATCACAAAGCAATACAGACAAGGATGGAGTCATGGTGTCTAAGGTGCAACATGAGCATCTGAACATCACTTTGAAAACAAGCCGAGGCATTTCCTTTCTAGTTCTCACACTTCTCTAACTCAGACACCCGATCTTGCTTCATCTTCTCTATTTTCAAACTGTCTGAACCCAGAGTCTTCTCCTTAGTCAACTTCCTGTTGTTTTTTTTTCCTTTTCATTTTTCTTTCTACTTAAGACAGCCAATCATTTCATTCATAAAACTCAAAAAAATCGCAAAATTGGTAAAGGCTGTAATCAAAGCCATTTGGAGGCACATAACATTTTGAATCGTGGAATGTGGAACATTCTAGCTGTCATTACTGTATTAGGGTAGAGGGATCACCAAACCTGGACTTTGCCAGTATGAACCTTTAGATAATTTTAACTGAATCAATTGGTTTGACCTGCTTCTTCTTTAAATAGAGGAGTCACAGATAGAAGACAAGATTTCTGCCCTTTAATGAAACTTCTGTTTAGACCCTAAATTAATTCAGTTTCTTTTTGTCCTAATAGTTTCATTTCTGTATCAGAAATTTACAAATTTATTCTCATATTACTCACTTTTTCTGCAAATATTTAGTAAGTATTTATCCTTAACTTAATATTTAACAATTAGCAAGTTTTACAAAGCATTTGTGGATAATTTTGGCCTCTTCCACTAAGGAACCCATTAATAATTATTGAAATGCTCAGAAACCTAAAATTGAAAAATGATTCATAAAACATTTTAATTTAATATAAGCATTGCTACATTGGTACTACACTCCAAACCACATTCAAACATTGAAACAAAATATTTCAGAAAATATCATTTACTCTCTAACTGATGTTAATGAGATCCATAATTAGCATTTTTCTGAAGAACAGTGGAATATTTTTTATATACCAAAAAGGAGTGTTTGATTAAAAGTTATAAAAGACAGTTTCATTGGATCTCAACTTATCCTCAATTCTTGAGTTGTTATTTTTAAAGTCAAAACTCCCTCCTCTTAAAATATATTGAAGTTATACTTAGCAAATAAATGAAACCAACTGTCCCAAACAACTGTTTCTGCAGCTTAAAGGATTCTTTTGGTCTTTTGGTACTTTATAGAATAACTAACAAAAAAGAACCACAAGCTATATTGATACTGACATGAACTTAAAATAAAACATGTCCAAATTTAAGTGTACAAATATAATTCAGTATCTGCACAGTGACACCAAGAACTCATACAATATCATGATACAGGGTGCAGAAGAAAAGAAACTGACCAAATACTCACTGATTTTCCTCATGGCTGGGACTAAGCAGCTCTGTCCTCTTAAAAACTACTGTCTGTCCAGTAATTTTTCAAGTACGTACGTGTAAGTCTCTGAGCACCGCCCGTCGTGGGCTCTGAAGCCACCCCCTTCCTCACAAACACAACCAGAAAGAGCTGGTGCACCTGCGAGCCCTTGCCGGAACCTTGTGGATATACACAGTCTACACAGAGTGAGACAGTGAAACCCAGACGTTCAGGGGTGGGCTCATCTCGAACCGGCAATGGTTCCAGATAAAAATATTCTAGCTGAGAAGGAAGTGACTGTCCCGTGTCAGAGTGAACAAAGAGCAAATTATAGACAGCAGGAGTACCTGATACAGCCCCGGAGGCGGAGGTGCTGGAGGGTCATTTGTTTACTCTATAAAAACAAAACAAATTCAAACCTACCCAAAACACCTCTCGGCTCTTCCGCTTTTCTGGGGCTCCCTTCATATCCAGATGCAGAGGAAGTGTTGCAGTTACCAGGAAGGAAGTTTTAACCAAGTTGATTATACATGTGATTGCTCATTTTCAAAGTGTCAGAAATTCATTTCCTGCTGAAGCACAGAGCGAGCAGAACAGGACACAGAGCAGTGTTTACCTCGCTATTTTTTCTTACTCTTTGGATTAATTTTTCAAAAATTGTGAGAGACTCTGACAAATTATGGAGATCCAAACCAAAAATATACCCAAGGCATAAACAAATGAAGCATGTGTGTAGCTATAAGTAGAAGGAGCCTACACAGCTACAATATTACATAACTTGTTAAGAAGATTTAATAGCCAAGTGAAACCTGTTACCCTCTGAGAATTCACACAAACTCTCATGTGTGCTGAGACAGGCAAGGTGGGGAGGAACCCTGTGGGCTGTTGGACTCTATCTGGATGTTTGCAAGAGTTATGTCTGTGAGTTCACCTCCTTAGATTGGTGAGGTCTCTCTCTCTCTCTCTCGCTCTTTCTCTCTCTGTCTGTCTGTCTCTCTCTCTCTCTCTCTGTCTCTCTGTATGTGTCAGACCATTTAGGTCTCAAACTATCACAGCCTTAAACTGAAAGCCCTGCCTCTCTGCCTCTTTGC